ACTCCCTAAGGAGTTTCGCGAGACCATGTGGAACACTTTAGCGTAGGATCTTATGGATTATTACCATGCTGTATGGATCACGGGCCAAATGGGAGAGCTGGTGGGACAAGGAGTCTCTACCCTGCTCTATAAAAAAGGGGATCAAATGAACATACGAAACTATAGGGTGATCACCCTCCTAACAGTGGTTTATAAATTGGTGGCAAAAACTCTGGCAAATCGTCTGGGAGAGGTGATGGGGAACATTATCCACCCTGCCCAAACGGCTTTATCAAAGGGAGAAAAATCCAGGACAATATTTTGCTGGTTAACGAAGTCGTTAAATTGTCTATGCAGTCACCGCCATCATCTTCGTAGACTTTGAAAAAGCGTACAACCATGTCGATTGGACGTTAATGAATAAATGTCTCGAATGGATGAACTTTGGCCCAACCTTTAGAAGGTGGGTCGAAATCTTACACCAAAATGACACAACGACCGTCGAAGTGAATGGTAGACTGACCCCTGCCATACATCTGGAACAATCAGTGAGGCAAGGGAACCCTATTGCCCCTTTTCTCTTCGTCATTGTCATGGAGGCCTTAGCAGCAAACCTACGGGCCCACAAAGACCTTCAAAAGATAAGGCTCTCTCCTCCATTCCAAAGGCATTCATCCATATCTGTTCGCTCTTTGCAGATGATCTTACTATAATGATCGATGCATCTCACAAGAATATGTTGGAAATTCAAAAATTAATGCACCGGTTTTGTTCCCTGTCTGATATGACTGTCAATTGGGGCAATAAGACACAAGGGTGGTGGCTACACTGTCAGGGTGGAAGGCCACCAGATATCCCCAATATTAGGTGGATCCCGACAGAGGCCCCGATTCGAATTTTGGGGGTCCAGATGACAGCAGAAGGGAAACCACCTCTGAATGATGAATGACTCATGCAACCAGTCATGGGGATACTATCTTAGTGGAAGGACAGACAAACATCTCTAATGGGTCGATCTCTGGTGATCAACAACGTAATTCTGGCTGCCTTGTGGTACAAAACAACAATTTGAGCCCTCGTTAAATCTGTGTCAACTTCCCTCCTGAGACAGGTGACCGCCTTTTTATGGAGAGGAAATCATGAGTGCCCTAATGCTATTAGCAGAGTGGCCTGCCAGTCGATCATACAAGCAAAAAACAGAGGGGGTCCCGGAATAATTGACCCGACTACTCAAGTGATGTCTCTGGCCCTTCAATGGATCAAAGGCCTGCTCTTCTCAACACAAGCGCCATGGCAACCATTGGCATTACAACAAATAGTCAGGCTAGCGCCATAGGCGCCTTATGAAGTAGAACCGGAAACGTGGTTTGAGGATAGGTACTGGACCATACCCCAAAAATCGTCCCGGCCTACTGCGGAGGGAGGGTCTGACAGGCAGGCAGCCCGACATGATCTGAAAAAGGACCCTCTTTGGATCACGATAATGAAAACTTGGCATAAGCTGCCCTCATCTGATAAAACTCCCACCCAAACGATGGGAAGAAGTGGCCCGACAACCTCTGTTTGGAAACCGATGGGTAACAGGGCCCCATAGCAGGGTATTTCACAGCAGTGAAAACCCTTGGAAAGGTTGTGTCAAGAATGGCGTGCTTTGTGTCAAAGGTATTTGGGACCAGGAAACCAAGGAGTGGCTGTCGGAGACCCAACTGAGCAAGAAACTGAGGTATTGCCACAAAGTGGGAGAGGCGCTAAAAACCATCATCTTCGCCATCCCTCTTGAATGGGTCGTCCGAATCTTGAGGAACGGACCGGTGGTGATGGAGGGTGACTGGGTGGGGTTCTGGGATACAGAGAAGGTGGTTGGGAATGTAGTGTATACCCGACAGGTCGGCACGGGGGGGGAACAAGAAGTGGTCGCCAACCACTTTAGAATAATGACGAATAATAACCTGGAGAGGGTACAGCCAGAAGAGACAGTATGGTAGTCGAGGTCTGAACTATACCGTATCCGCATCCTTAAAGAAAAAGACCTGGTCCAATGGAGAGCATACAAGCCGAACAAACCAATCCAAGCGCTACCACTTGACCCCAATGAATGGGTATGGTCCCAGAAATATGGGAAAGGTAAGTCTAGGGAGCGGGGGCTGCAGTCCCTCTCGGTCAAGGCAACTTGTCGAATGCTGCAACCGGGAGTAAATCAGAACAAGGTAGTAGAAGCCCACTAGATGAAGCACCTGAACATAGGGAGAGGTATGTTGCAGCCGGTTAAGTGGTTTAAGGCGAGCAGGACCATGCTTGCGAAACTGGCCTCACTCCAATGGCAAATAGAGCATAGATCCCTGCTGACAAATGACTGGCTGATAGATAGGACGTATCTTGAACAAAAGGGTGTGGCACTCCCATGGTGTAAGTTAAAAAAAATCCTTCCCGGCTCGAAAATGGTCAGACTATAGAGCACATGTTCTTGCAGTGCCCGACAGCAATTTGGCTGTGGAGGTGGTGGGACCGAATATGGAGACAATTGGGCACCTCGCAACCTTGGCCGTGGGACTGGAGAGCGCTCCTCTGTGAGGTGTGGGCCCCAGAGCAAGCCACCCCCTTTCAAGAAAACATCAAAATGGGCCGCAGGGCGGTGATCTGGGCCATCTGGTGGAGATGATGCACACTCGAAATGGAAGGGGTGCGCCGGGATGGAAGTGAGTTTATCAACTCAATTAAGGAACAAATCAGGAGGACATTTCTATCCAATGGGAAAGAATTAAGGAAAAAATCCCATATCTACACTCTAAACGTTAAATTAGACAACTCGTTGAGAAATTCTGTAAAAACTGGCTGGGTGGGGAACAAAGGGCCTGGATCGCTACAGGTAATATGGAAGGGTGGGGAGAAAAGGGGGGAAGATATAGAGGAAGGGGAAAGGGACTACCACCTATGCTTTCAAGATTGGACCCAGATTGACCCCACTATCCCGCTCCGGCCCCTCTCAGACTTTCCGGACCTCTTTCCACCCCCTCCTTTAGCTCTGGTTGCAATGGAATAGTATGGGGGGGGTACGGGCTAAGGATAGAGTGGAAGGAGTCAGGTATAAACAGAGTAGAATGATGAATGTTTCAGCAATGACACGTAGGAACTAGGGCGGGGGTCCGAGTGGAACAGAGGGATCAGTAGTGCGGATGAGGTGGTAAAGTCTTTGGGGGAATGGGAGCAAGTAGTCTTTCAATAGCAGGTATCTAGCGCCTGGTACGGGGCGAAGAGGTAGCCCCTGTTCCCAACAACCTGCACAGTCAATCCTCTGGAAGACAGAGTCATCAATGCTGGCAAGCACTGCAGAGGGGGTTGTTAAAAAAAAAAAGGTTTATTCACAGTAGATGTCTGCACCATCTCGCCGTGAAAATCCTGCAATCATCGAATGATAGTGATAGGTTTGTCCTTCCACTCACATATAATCAAAGGCCCGTTTTTCTCCAAATTTACTACTACGCTCCTTGAACTCCCTTCCTTTGAGACCCTTCGGTCCACTGGTTCAATGATTGGCGAAGCAGAACTCCGTGAAAGAGTGTGCTAGGGGACGAAAGGAGACCCTGGAGAGGGTCCTGGCCCACCTGGAAAAATGGGATGCCCACGTCATGGACCACCCCTTGGACATGGACACCTACAAAGCTCTCCAAAGAGCAAGGGTTCAACTACAAGAATAGCTCAAAGAACAGGCCCAGAAATGGCAAATTCAAGCATGAATCACGAAGGATGCAGCAGAAGGGATGCAACCAACGTGCAACGTACGCTATCGAAGGACTAGCCTAATGTAGACAATGGTGATGGTCAGGTGCATGTCTGTAAAAGTGGTCGTTCATGCACATTTTGACAGGCGAATGCACCTCAGCTGGTCCATTGATGTCTTCACACGCTGCAGAGCATCAAAATATATTCCCCTTTCCCCCCAACTGCCCCCCTCTCGCATCCCCTTCCCCCCAATCTGTGCATCCACCCTGCAACCCTCAACAAGAGACCTCACGAGCTGCAGGAAAGAGTCGTTCCCGCAGATGGCACTGTTTCCTTGGCTTCCACTACCAGTACGCTGGGGTGTATCAACTTACCATGCGAGGACAAATTCACTCATGATGAACTGTCACGGCACTATAGCAATGGCTGGAACAAGTACTGGTGATTTACACCACCAGTACATGGCCCAAGGCAACTGGAGAACCTGTTTTGAACCTCTCCGGAAATTTAGGAGGCCGAGCGCCGTAAATAAAAGGAATCGGTGGCAGGCGGTCTCCGAAAGTGGCCCGCGGCCGATTGCTGGCATGTACTGGAGGTTTAATGCTGATGCTCATCTCAACCCCGGTGCCCCCCGCTTCCCCAACCTTCTCCTCCCACAACGAAAGAGAGAAGAAACGGCTCGGAAAGCCAGCAACTCAACCGGCACATCCGAGAACAGATAGGAATCTGACTGAAGAAAAAAAAAAACAGAAGGATGAAACAGAAATGGGCAAAAGCAACAGTGCAAAGCGGTAAATCGGAGGGGGGCAAATCGGTAAACGCGCCACAGGCAAGGGCAAGTCGGTCAAGGACAAGCTGAATGCAGGCAAAGCAGCCTCGCTGCTTCGAACAAGGGCAAATTGGTAAATGCGCCACAGACAGCCTCGCCGCCTCGGACAAGGGCAAATCGGTAAATGCACCACAGACTAGGTCAAATCGGTCAAGAACAAGCTGAATGCAGGTAAACCCGGCCAAGGGCGATACCAGTGAATCTCCTACAGACAACAGCAGACAACAGGAATTTGCAGAAGTTAGTTACATTGGGACAAAGCGCAGAGGCCAGAGGCAAGAACAAATGAGTGAGGGGTGAACGTGACATTGCCTGAAAAAAAAAAGAGAAAAGAAGAGCAAAGAAAGTGACATGCCAGGTTTGCAAGGAAGTTGACGGGGGTGGGGGAGCGGGGGGAAGTAAACTGGTACAATCTACATGAATGTGAAAGAAAATAAAAACGTTTTTCCTTTTACCTCTCCATTGACTGAGTTGAACAGAAAAACATTTGTTGTGCCGAGACAAGGAAAAAGCTGCGTACTCTATGAAGATTATAATCCAATATACGTGTCTCTCTCAGGGCATACTCACTCTAGGACTTTTTCTACTGAACTCCGGACGCCAATTGCAGTCAGATTCGTCCACGTCTGGCCGGAACTGCAGTCAGATACATTTAGAAAAGCACTAGTGTGAATACACCACCCTTAAACAGCAGGAAATCCGTATGAAGTTGTATGAGAGACCATCATTATTCCAACATGACATTGCGGCAAAGACTATGGAGAAAGAATATCTCACTGACTCCACCACTCCAAAACTAATATCCGATATCCTCCTCCTCCTCTCTCCTCGTCTTGCTGCTGCGGCTACTGCTGCTGCTGCTTCTGCTCATTCTTCTTAACTCCAACCAAATTGCTGTCGCTGTTGCCCGATTTCACACGAAGCCCCTTCACGTCTGATTTTTCACGCTGAGTCCAAGCCAATCATACCTGTGGGGGTGGGGTTGATAGGCTTTTGAGGATTCTCCTTCTGCAGCAGTGTGAATGAAGCTTTCACGGCAAAATCTGATGTGCTCTCCCGTGTGTGGGGGCTGTCAATCACTGAAAACTACTTTAAATGGGACTGCAATGCTGCATCTAGTGAAGTCCAAGCCTGCACCACTGCGCAAGCCTGCACCAGTGTGTGTGAGACTGTGCTCTCCCCTGTGTCTGGGGGCTGAGTACGCACAACGAGTAATTGTTGAAACAACTTGAGCGTTCAGACAAGAACAGGCGACAAAACAACTTCAGAGATCAGAGAAAAATGGGGTGGCGAATCGTTGCTCTCTCTCCCAATACTGACCAAGTCTGGAGACTGTGGGGAGACTTAGAACAGACTCTGAGTTAACCCGCTCACGTCCACACAGAGACCGTTCAGTGGGGAGAGAAAGACTCTGTGCTAAACTGCGCCTTAATCACCAGGTTTGAACCACAGGTCACTTACTGCTCCCCGGCCCCATGTCAACTAGACACTGAGTCGCTGACAGGTTCACTCAGCAGGCGCTGTTACACAAGGCTTAGCTCGCCACACTTCCCTCCACACTTCCCTCCAGCCACAACTAGACACGGACACGGACGGTGTTGTACACAGTGTAAGCAGGAAGAAACGTGAAGAAAACATCATCATGGCTGATCACAACATGATGGCTGTCCCCTCATGCTCACGGACTGTCATTCGCAATACACGGCCTGGCAGAAAACTTAGATTGGGGAAATCTTCCCAGATACTGGGGACAAAGCCATCTACATTACTTGTATGGATAGATATGACAGCAGCATTTTTGAAGTCCTAGCAGAGCGAAGTGGGGGATTCTCTTCTACTCAAATTACAAGAAGTTCAACACAAAGGAGGGGCATAAACAATTAAACTACTCCGACAATTATACTACAGTAACTCCGACCAAGTCGCTATACTGGTATCGTCAAAACAATTACCCTACTCAGTATACTGTACTCACCGGTAGAGATTCGGTGGTGAGATCTCCTCTTCGGACGCTCGTCCAGGGACCAAGAGAGGGACCCTCCTCCTGGGAACAAGAGAGGGACCCTCCTCCTGCGAACAAGACAGTACCCTCCTGAGGCCAACACAGGAACCTCCTCCTGGGAACAAGACAGAACCCTCCTCCTGGGACCGAAGCAGGACCCTCCTCCTGGGAACAAGGCAGGACCCTCCTGGGAACAAGACAGGACAAGACCCTCCACGGACCAAGCCTCCCTTCTGAAATTTTCCGCACGCTCGATTTGCCGCCACCCTCTCCCTAAACCTTTTTCGCAAGTTTTTCCTATTAAGGCAAGAATCCCTTTTTGAGTCACTGCTTTCCTCCTGGGACCAAAGCAGGACCCTCCTCTTGGGGCCAATACAGGGCCCTCCTCCTGGGAACAAGGCTGGACCCTCTCCTGGGAACAAGACAGGACAGGACCCTCCACGGACCAAGACAAGTACAGCATCCCTTCTGAAATTTTCCACACACTCAATTTGCCGCCACCCTCTCCCTAAACCTTTTTTCGCAAGTTTTTCCTATTAAGGCGAGAAATTCAATCCCTTTTTGAGTCACTGCTTTCCAGTGTTTCCACTTTTGACCACCAACGCTGTCTTCAGGTGCCTCGCTTATGCTCTGCCGCCTCCTGTCTTCTGAGCACAGCTTACTTTTGTCATGCCTTTGCAATTCAGTATCATATTCTCCAAACCCTTTGCTCACCTTCGCTGTCTGCAGGCGCCCTTCTTATGCTGCCCTGCGGACACCTCCCCTCTTTCCACCACACAGCTTTTGCCTCGCCTTCGCAATTCGGTCGGTAGACCCCTCGCACTGTTGTACAAAACCCTCTTCTTGTCCAGGTAGACCTGATCGCTTCCATATATTTATTTAGGCAACATCACTAGGAGGCCCCTCATTTGAAACCCCTGTTTACGTTCTTTCACAAGAATCCAAGCAGAACCCTTTCTCTTGTCTCATTCTCCTCCAGTACTCTTGAGAACCCGTGCTGCTCTTGTCCCATTTCCTCGTACGATGTACTCGAAGTTTTTCGGAGTGCTCTCTACTAGGAGCATCTTGATTGGTGGCAGTTCGTTACGACTCTTACGAGCACGCAGTTAAATTCTGCGCAGTCCAGAAAAAATTATGGGAAAACAATTCTAAATTCTAACCCCAAGTGCAGAGTGGCCAGGTTTTTCAAGTGGAATTTCCAACTTCAAATCTCAACAATATACTCCAACTGTCCAACAACAAGTAGGGCATAAAAAATAGGTATTGCAAACACGAGGACTTTCTCTACCGAGCCCTGGACGAGACCGCAGTCGGATTCATCCGGATTTGACCGCAATTGCGCAGACAGATACATTCTGAAAAGTGCTGGCATGAGTATGCCCTTACTCATCCTTTCAGATATGTCAAAGCTTTTTGGAATTCACATCCCCAGCTCTGCTCCAACACTGCCCGAGCACTGCCCGCGTTTTAGAACTGAGCCTATTTAAACAATTTGGCCTTCTCACCCAAGAGCCTGCAAAACGACTACATTCATTGATGTATTCTGTTGCGCATGGGAGACTCTGGGCATGCCACTTGTTGTTGAGCGCGTTGGCCCTTGCGCATGAAATTGACATGAGGGCCCTCTGAGCAGCATCGTTGGAGTTTCCAATAATTTTAACTGGGACTTGGGCAGTCGATGAACTAGTGCGCTTGGGGCCGTGTTTCCCCCTCCCCTACCATTGATGTCCCCCAACTACGCGAGGGGGGTTGACTCGTCTGCTTGAACCAAAGTTCCATCCGATATGACTCTGCCTATACCGCTGGTAATTGTCTCCCAGCCTGCCCTTCGGCTCGCCTGCCTGATTGTATCCATGCATGCTCGGTCGCACGTCATCATCGACCATTCTCAAATTCCTTAGCGCCCCTTCGCAGCACAAAGAGTTGCATCTGTGTTTATGAAAGCAGGGACAAAGCTAATCAGTATATGAAACCAAGTCAACGCAAAGTCTGCGTCCTGTCTTCTTCATTCCGGGGTTCTAGCGAAAATCAGGATCCCATCATTACTAATTTTTAAGTCACCTCCCCCTACTTCCAGTTTCGTCACAGCCAGACACAAAAACATGAGATAGTAGAGATTCTCTCTCTCTCTCTCTCTCTCTCTCTCTCTCTCTCTCTCTCTCTCTCTCTCTCTTCCTTCTACTACTCGCGTGCTGACAGTCTTGCTTGTCAGCCCTTTCCATCTCTCCTACGGTACCTACCTGCTGATTTTGCCCCCTCCTCCTTGATCTACCTGTCCTGACCTGCAGGCTTCTGCTGGTCTGAAGCTTGCATCACAAGGACTCAAAATCAGATCTCCTGTCCTCATCTCAATCGACTTACTACACGAATGATGCGAAAGCTCCTTGCATAAGGTAATAACAGCATACCATCCCCTGAAACCTGCAGAATCGTACTCAAACGAACCTGTTACTCATCTTGCAACTTCAAACATGCCCAATGCATCTCTGAAGAATCTCAAACCTCTGAAGATCGATTTCAAAACAGAAACAGCCGACATCTTTTTCTCTAAAGAATGCCAGTCTCCAAGAATCTTGGCACAGTCTCCGAGTGGTATCAAATCAGGCAATCCCTCTCTTCTTCTCTTCTTCTCGTCTGTTCTCCATGTCTGCTTGTCCATCTTTCCTGCTCCTGTATCTATCTTTCATGGGGCATTCCTGTTGAACTCCCTCTTCTCCCACTCCCAAAATTGTCTACGCATACGTGTACTCTGTAGTGCTCCCCTGTTTCCTCAAAGGGGGAAGCAACACCGGGTTAGGAAAGAGCTTATGGTGTGTGTGTGTGTGCGTGTGTGTTTGCGCGCGCGCGCGCGCAAGAGAGAGAGAGAGAGAGAGAGAGAGAGAGAGAGAGAGAGAGAGAGAGAGAGAGAGAGAGAGAGAGAGAGAGAGAGAGAGAGAGAGAGAGAGAGAGAGATGCCTGAAAAGGGGAAAGTTTTGGTAAGCCACTGTAATGATTGCGGAGGGAACTGTACTGAAGAAGGTATCTCCAACATGTTAGCGCTCGAAAAATCGTGAAGGGTCCTCGTATAAGCCACTAAATACTACTCGACGCAAACTCTAATCATTCGCATATGGTGTCATTGGTGTGTGCACTGCGGCATCTTCGTCACTACCCTTCCATGCTACACATGTTTCCTCCAACATCCACGTAGCCTGTCCTTCTGCTCTCCAATCATTATGATCGCTCGTTACATCATCCACTTGTTCAGATTCCAGTCAGCTAGTGGTCACTCATCTTGTGCCATCCTCAATCAGACAGTGTATGCCTCGCATCTCCCGTGCCCTCAACTGACACCCTCCACATACGCACTTAGCTCTGCTTACCGAACTTGAACTGCCTGACTTGGGGTCGGGGGAGGAGGCATCTGCTCCCGAGCACTATCATGGTGAGGGCATGGGGAAGGCATAGACGGGACTTGAGAGGGCGGTGTCGATGACGGCGAGTTCACTATGGTGGAATCCACAGCACCAACTGCTGTGGAAGACGGTTTCTGACTGGAGGATTTGCTGATATATGCTCCACCACCACTGCCTTGCCGCCCTCCTCGCCCTGACGGTCGCCCCCCGTGATAGCTTTGTGATCTTCTCATGTGCTTCGGACTGGGGGCACCCGGTCCCCCCTTTCCTGCAGCCCCCTCACTCTCCCGGTCCCTCGTATGCTTACCATGTGCGCTGTTCTCCCCTCTTCCCGCACCTTCACAATCCTTTTCTCGCTCCCTTTCCCTCCCATTCCCTCCATTGTTCCCCCCCCCTCCTCTTCCTCCAGGTGTCCCAGAGCCTCCTCTTCTGTCTCTGCCTCTCCTCTTTGTCACCAGAGTGAATCCATCGTCGTCCCTGGAGCTTGGCTGCTCTTGCTCACCATCTCTAAGCCGAGCAGAGACGCCCTGCACCTCCCCACCCGTTGCGGATATACTTCCATTCGCTGCTCTGATGTCCCTTGTCTTCTCAACATTCCTGGCAGCAGGAGCATCACCACTGTCGACAGCTTTCCTACCACCACCTCTGTTTCTGGAACTAGTACCAGTAGCAGGTGTTGCGCTCTTGGAAGCAGAACCAGGACCAGGTGAGGCAGGCTCTGACGACGAGCGGCCCACTGAGGCAGCTTCCTGGGTATTGCTCTTCCGCCGTTCCACATCCCCTCCAGCTGGAGATACTGCTGCTGCAGCAGACTCATGCCGATAGTCTCTCTTGACGAAGAGCTCCATCCGGCTTGTTTCTGTTGTTGGCAACCCAGATGAAGGTGAGGAGGGAATGCCATCCTGATGTGACGGAGTCAGAGGACGGCGGCGGCTTGATACTCGTGGGCTCGACAGTTCACCGCGAGAGACATCCAGTGCACCGGGGCGCCTCTCAGATCTGTCAGAGTATTGACGGGAAACTCTGACGTCCTGTGAAGATCGGCGTGTGAAGGGCTTCGAAGCCAGATGTGGAACCCGATGGTGTGCATGATCGGCCTCATCGTCACTGACATCCGCCCAAGACAACCCTCGGCCTGGAGATGATACTATTTGATGTCCATTACTCACAGAAGTGGACTTCAGCTGATCTGTTCCCAGAGCTACCTCCTGTGGCTGCACGACCTTTCCGTCAGACAAGCCCTCAGAATTCACAACTCCGTTTGCCACCGATGTCATTGATATGTTGCTCACTTCACCACAATCTTCAACTTTTACAGCCTCGTCTACCTCGCAAGCCTCTTCTACGGGCGGGCTTACATCAGACGACCATGTCAGTGAAGTGCATTCTATGCCGTCCTCGCTGGGGACTGCAGTCTCCCTTTCTGTAACAATGGTTTCTTCCGCAGCAGCAGCTGGCTTGTCAACACCCTGAGACTTCATTTCTCCCACTCCCTCTCCATCTCCCACTTCCTTGGTCTTCCCAATCTCCTGCTCTCCATGTTCTTTTCCGCCAGTCAGGGCGAAGTTTTCTATACTAGCAATCTCTCCCGATGGGGTATCCAACAATGAGACCTTCTCAGGATCACTTAGGACATCTCCATCACCATTCACCGGATCTACCTCCTTTGACCCTCTGTGTTCTTGTGCTTCTTCTTCTGCCTCAATGGCTGACATTCCATTGGAACTTCCCGTTGGGACGTTGTCAATGGCCGAGGTTCCATGGGAGCGCTCTTCTGGGACATTGCCAGCCGTAGGATCGGCTACCTCCTCGGTTCCTGATTTTATCTCCTCGGTACCTGCTGAAACAGTGTTAGTCGATGAAATGCTTGGCGATGCAGAGGTTGCGGTGTCTTCACTTGCTTCTGGCGATGATGTCGCCGCTGGGTTATCCTCAGGTGCTACCGCTGAGCTTGCGACCAATGTCACAGTTGTTGCCTCTGAAGCAGTTGTTGGCTCGTTAGCCGTGCCGCTCGGGGATACGACCACAGGTGGAGCCACCGACACTGTTCGTGTGACTGGCACGTGCGAGGGCTGCCATGGTCGTCCAGGAATGAACTCCGCAGCATTGGGGTTCATCAGAACTGGCTGTGTTGCTGTTGCTGCAAGAGGTTGAACACCAACAGGGGGGGAAAATGACCCATAAATGGGGTGTGACATGTGTGGGGGACGTAACATGGGGGGAAGTGGGAGGCTACCAAAGGTATGCATAGGTGGTGCCGGGCGCACCATGTGGTGGAGGGCAATGTGTTGAACCATTTGAGGGCCACCTCCCATCTGAATTGGGTGACCGCTAGGAGATATTAGGATAGGCTGAGGGACATACATCATCGGAACAGGAGGGGCAAAAGGAACCGGAGGGGGAGGGGGAGGACCGGTGAGTGGTGGTGAAATTGCCAACGGATACCTTGCACCTGGGCGCATCGGGGTCAGAGCAATCGCTGTAGGTGACGGGGACGAGGAGGGGCTACGTGACAGCGGAGCTGAGGGTTGGAGAACCGAGCCGTCTTTCATCGGTGTTAGGGCAATCTTTCCAGGTCCATCCACTGTGGGGTAAGCGAGCACAGACCTCCCTCTGGCAGGTGCATCCGGCGCCGCTTCTGACGAGGCTTGTTGTTCTTCTGGAACAGATCGCGCAGTTCCTGCTCCGTGAGAAGAATCTGATGGTGACTTCGATTCATCCGTGGACAAATCCGCAGCTGGCTGTGAATCTTCTTGAGGTGGCGTTGGGACACTCTCTCCCCCATTTGGAGATGGAAGCTCGTTGCTGGAGACCTCAGATTGTTGTTGCACACTTGGAGCATCCGATTTCTCTTCAGCGGAGGAAGCCGCCGCTACTTGCGATATGGCTGCCTTGCATTCTGCACCTATGTCAACGGTAATAGCTCTACTTTCCCTACTTTCAGATGCTTCGGCCACGTCAATTGCTGACTCACCACTCTTAGAACTTGCTGTACGATCCTGAACAAGCGGCGACTCTGGCACCGTTGGGCCAATATCTGGCCCTGTCTCACCTGGTACTGCAGACAGGGCTGCCGGCTCTGAGACCGACGAGACGCTCACATCCGTGGCCTGGACATCAGTTGCTCCTCCTGCAACAGTCTGTTCCTTGATCACATTCTCTATCGAGCTTATGGATTCTTGCTGATCTACATCGACAATTATATCCCTGGATGATGAACGTTCAAGCACCTCTTTCTCATTATGCACACCTGCAACTCTTTCAGCAGCAGCTGCTGCTCGATCATCGTCACTCACAGTGAATTTTCTCGGCGCGACCTCTCCTACTGTAGAGCCTGCCCCATGATCCGGGGGTGGTTGTACAGTCACAGAGTTCTTGGCTTTGCTGGTGTCATTGCTAACAGGAACAACCTTGGCATCAGCCTTACGTTCAGCACTAGATGTGTCAGCCACAGGGACACATGATGAATCATATTTAGAGTCTCTAATCGTATCAACGGTGGCAGGTCTCTCAGCCACAGCGTCAAAAGCAGTAGCAGCAGGAGCCTGCATCGGCACAGTAATAGCTGCACCAGCAGTAGATACAGATACTGCAGGTGTCACAGAAGGCTGCGACGCAGAAGCTGCCACAGCAGCAGGTAAAGACATGGGAGGTGTAACAGCAGCAACAGCAGCAACAGCGAGGGAGGCAGATATTGAACCGGGAGCAGGGGAAGCAGCAGGGGTCTGAGGGGCCTTCAGCAAGCTTGAGGGTGCAGTTGTTGCAATTGTTCCTGGCTGAGCGAGAGTCACATCCTTGTATGACATTCCAGGTGATAGGGTGGCACGTTTGCTTGCCGGCGGAATTGGGTGAGGCATGAGTGCTGCAGGGGCCAATGGAGCCACAACTGCTCCTGATGTCGCCGCTGAGGCAGATGAGAGGGCTGGGACAGGCTTTGTATCACTCCCTGCTGATCCTGATGGAGAAATTCCATGGTCCACAGGGACTGCCTCGTTCCGCGCAGGCGGTGCTGCAGTTATCATCTGGTTTGTGGCAGTATTGGGAGGATTATTTCCTGATGGCGATGAAAGAATTGCTTCCGATGAGCTATCTTTCGCACTTGCAGGGGCCTTTTGGACGGAAGATGGACTGGTTAAGGGCATTATGCCCGATTGCCCCGCTGCTGCGGCTGCTGAGGCAACAAGCCCTCCAACTCCCCATCTCCTGGGCATGCTCCTCTCTGCCGCTCCACCTGGAACAGGTGTAGGCATAGCTGCTGCTGTCGTTGCAACTGGACCATTCACTGAAGTTGGACTCGGCAAAGCACCAGAAGGCGATGCTGCCATTTGTTGCCCAGAAGCTGTCCCGTTCCCGTTCACATGCGTGGACTTATCTCTTTGGACGGCTGGCATACCCCCCCTCCCCGTCGTGTTCCCCTTTCCCCCAAATTGAATGACGTTAACCCTCCCGAGGTGGACACTCCCTCCATTTCCGGAAGATCGACCCTGGCGCGGCCTCCTGCTGAACCATGAGCCACTTGATTTAGCTCTGGGCATTGCTTCTTGCCACTCACCACCTTGATCATCATCAACTGCCAAGAAATCTCCTCCACTGGAGCCTCTCTCATCCTCCACAGCCTGATCCTGGCTGCTGGATTTGACCAGGACAGTGCTGCCAATCTGGACATGGAATCCGTTCGCAGGTGTAGAGGTGTGTTCACTCGCGGATGCTGTTGTTGACTGAGTGCTTCCCCTACTTTCCGTCTGTTGGCTTCCATTCACTCTCGATCTGGAAGTTGGGGACGCGGATTCGTCTTCTGCATCGCTTCCACTGTCGGTTGCTGCCAAGCTGTTCTCTGCTCTGATTGTTGCAGCAGTTCCTGCGCCATCCCTATCAGCCCGGTTTCCACCAGAGCCGTTTGCTACCGGACTCCCAGAAGACGGGCGTGAGGACCCAGAACCCTCCAAGGCCGCTCCAGCTCCAGCCCCACCTCCAGAGCCACCTTTTCCCTTTGACTGTTGATGTGAAGCCATAACAAGTAATAACAACGCGTTGGAAGGCAAATTCGGCACAAAACATTAGTCCTCGTACACCCAACACGTCATGATCAATATTCAATATTATTCATTGCAACAAACTCATAATGAAGACAACTGTGACAATCACCTTACATGTATCTGCATAATCAAACAAGGGTTCAAATTTTCTGCAAGGATCACCTTGCTCATTTTCCTGGGTAATTCTAGAGATCCCAGAGATTGACGATCTCATGACTGACGATCTCATGACTGCCTGCATGAAGCAGGTCCAGCAGCCTTCACAGCCTACCCAGATAAGAGAGAGTCCCTCAGGAAGAACAGTATGGTCATCACAGAGTTCAATCCTGTGGACTCTCCCTCCCTCCCTCCCTCCCTCTCTCTCTCTCTCTCTCTCTCTCTCTCTCTCTC